GTGCCTATAGAGTTGTTCTTAGTATTCCTTCATTATCTCTTCAGTGTTTATGGAATCTGTAGTGATACCCCCTCTTTCATTATTGATATTGTTAAATTTTTCCTTCTGCTTGTTTGGGTTTATTTTAGTTTTATTTTTCTAGCTGTTTAAAGTGAAGGATTAGGCTATTGATTTGAGGACTTTCTTCTTTTCTCAGGTAAATATTTAATGCTATCAATTTTTCTAATTTTTGCAAAAAACTTTATGTGGTAGAAAAAATAACTTAGATCTGGGGGTGCATCAGATATACATTTACATGTAAGGTAAGATATTTGTGACGTATTGAGTCAGGAGTCCATCAACTTACTTGAAGGAGGGGAACAAAATGATCCCAAATGTGAAAGCCCTTGACAGCCTAGTGCAGAATTAATCACAGAGTGATAATAGGCAAGAGTTTTCAGAAAGCAATGAACAGGCAACACATCCTCTACACAGGTTGATTAGCTTTTCTGCAAGGCTCTAGACCTCTTCTATGAAAAGGCATCTGATGGTCCTGTGTACACTAGCATTCTTTAGTCCTATCTGCTCCTACTTATGTCTCTTCTACTATTGAAATACTGATAAACATTGACGATGTGTTGATGGTATACTTTTTACAATATACCCATTTGTACCCAGTGTGATTCCCTCAATAAATGTTTTTTTTTTGGTTGCCATCATCTTTGTTTTTTAAAAAGTTATTATTTTTAATTATTATGGAAATACAGTATTATGCATGCTCGATAAATAATAAATATTTCTGATGTCTTTGAGGCAACAAAATAATTATTTTAAGTCCCATATTTTAATGAATTTATAGTTCCCTGAGGTAGAAGCACAATATACACAAATGAGATCTACATCAATCTGTAATTACTGTCATTTAATTTAAATATACTATACACCAGACGTTGTGTGTGCTGGGTGTGATACATACATTTAATCTTTACCACCTTTTTGCAAGGTATAAATAATATGGAGTACAGTTTCATAGAAACCAGAAAAAGCCCAGGACAAGACAGATTTATAGCCAAATTCTACCATATGTATAAAGAAGAGCTGATACCATTCCTAGTGAAACTATTCCAAAAAAGTGAGGAGGAGGAGTTTTCTAACTGAGGCCAGTATCATCCTGATACCAAAACCTGGCAGAGACACAACTGAAAAAGAAAACTTCAGGCCAATATCCTTAATGGACATAGATGCAAAAATCCTTAACAAAAGACCGGCAAAGTAAACCCAGCAACACACCAAAAAGCTAATACACCACAAGCAAGGTTGGTTCAGCATACACAAATCAGCAACTGTGATCCACTGTATAAGTGGAACTAAAAACAGAAACCATATGATCATCTCAATAAATATAGAAAAGGCTTTCAATCAAATTCAACATCTTTTCATGTTAAAATCCCTCAACAAATTAGGCATTGGAGAAACATACTTCAAAATAAGAAGGGTTATCTATGAAAGCCAGCATCACACTGAATAGGCAAAAGCCGGAAGCATACCCTGTGAAAATTGGAACAAGAGAAGGATGCCCTCTCTCACCATTCCTATTCAATGTAGTGCTGAAAGTCCTCATCAGAACAATCAGGCAACAGAAAGAAATAAAAGGCATCCAGGTCAGGTGTGGTGGCTCATGCCTGTAATCCCAATACTTTAAAAGGTCAAGATGGATGGATCACCTGATGTCAGGACTAGCCTGACCAACATGGTGAAAACCCATCTGTAGTAAAACTAGAAAATTAGCTGGGCCTGGTGGTGTATGCCTGTAATCTCAGCTACTTGGTAGGCTGAGGCAGGAGAATCGCTTGAAGCCGAGAGGTGAGGATTGCAGTGAGCCGAGATCACGCCATTGCAAGCTAGCCTGGGCAACAAGAGTGAAACTCCATCTCCAGATAAATAAATGCCATCCAAACAGAAAAAGAGGAAGTCAAACTATTTCTGTTTGCAGACAGTATGATTCTATATCTAGAAAACCTCATAGTCTCTGCCCAAAAGCTCCAAGATCTGATAAACAACTTCAACAAAGTTTTAGGATACAAAATCAATGTACAAAAATCAGTAGCATTCTGATACATCAAAAATATCTAAACTGAGAGCCAAATGAAGAACGAATTTGAATTCACAGCAGGAGAAAAAGAATAAACACCTAGGAATACAGATAACCAGGAAGGTGAAAGCTCCGCAAAAGGAGAACTACAAAACACTGCTCAAAGAAATGAGAGATTCACCACTCCTATTCAACATAGTATTGGAAGTTCTGGCCAGGGCAATCAGGCAAGAGAAAGAAATAAAGGGTATTCAGTTAGGAAAAGAAGAAGTCAAATTGTCTCGGTTTGCAGATGACATGATTCTATATTTAGAAAACCCAATTGTGTCAACCCAGAATCTCTTCAAGCTGATAATCAACTTAAGCAAAGTCTAAGGATACAAAATCAATGTGAAAAAGTCATAAGCATTCCTATACACCAATAACAGACAGAGAGCCAAATAATGAGTTAATTCCCATTCACAATTGCTACAAAGAGAATACAATGCCTAGGAACACAACTTACAAGGGATGTGAAGGGCCTCTTCAAGGAGAACTGCAAACCACTGCTCAAGGAAGTAAGAGAGGACACAAACAGATGGAAAAACATTCCATGTCCATTGATAGGAAGAATCAATATAGTGAAAATGACCATAATACCCAAAGTAATTTATAGATTCAATGCAATCATCATCAAGCTACCATTGACTTTCTTCACAGAAGTGGAAAAAATTACTTTAAATTTCATATGAAACCAAAAAAGAGCCCGCATAGCCAAGACAATCCTAATCAAAAAGAACAAAGCTGGAGGAATCCCACAACCTGATTTCAGACTATACTACAAGGCTACAGTAACCAAAACAGCATGGTACTGGTACCAAAACAGATACATAGCCAATAGAACAGAACAGAAGCCTCAGAAATAACACCGCACATCTACAACCATCTGATCTTTAACAAATCTGACAAAAATGCAATGGGGAAAGGATTCCCTATTTAATAAATGGTGTTGGCAAAACTGGCTAGCGATATGCAGAAAGCTGAAACTGGATCCCTTCCTTACACCTTATACAAAAAGTAACTCAAGTTGGATTAAAGACTTAAACATAAGACCTAAAGCCATAAAAACCCTAGGAAAAAACCTAGGCAATACCATTTAGGACATAGGCATGGGCAAAGACTTTATGACTAAAATGCCAAAAGCAATGGCAACAAAAGACAAAGTAGACAAATGGGATTTAATTAAACTAGAGAGCTTCTGCACAGCAAAAGACACTATCATCAGAGTGAACAGGGAACCTACAGAGTGGGAGAAAATGTTTGCAATCTACCCATTTGACAAAGGGCTAATATCCAGAATCTACAAATAACTTAAATAAATTTACAAGAAAAAAACAACCCCACCAAAAAGTGGGTGAAGTATATGAACAGACAGTTCTCAAAAGATGACACTTATGCAGCCAACAAACATGTGAAAGAAAGCTCATCATCACTGGTCATCAGAGAAATGCAAATCAAAACCACAGTGAGATACCATCTCACGACAGTTAGAATGGCAGTTATTAGTCAGGATACAACAGATGCTGGAAAGGATGTGGACAAATAGGAATGCTTTTAAACTGTTGGGGGGAGTGTAAATTAGTTCAGCTGTTGTGGAAGATGTGGCAATTTCTCAAGGATCTAAAACTAGAATTACTATTTGACCCAGCAATCTCATTACTGGGATATACCCAAAGGATTGTAAATCACTCTATTATAAAGATACATATGCATATGTGTTTATTGAGGCACTGTTCACAATAGCAAAAACTTGGAACCAACTCACATGTCCATTAATAATAGAATGGATCAAGAAAATGTGGCACATAGACACCATGGAGTACTATGTAGCCACAGGAAATGATGAGTTCATGTTCTTTGCAGGGATATGGATGAAGCTGGAAACCATCATTTTCAGCAAAGTAAACACAAGAACAGAAAACCAAACACCGCATGTTCTCACTCATAAGTGGGAGTTGAATAATGAGAACACATGGACACAGGGAGTGGAATAAACTATTCTTATCTCCTGAACAACTTGCTTTCTATGGCTGCTAATTGTTAAGCTTTTTCTAAGTTTCATGAGGCTTGTGTATTTGGCCAAGTCCCTGTGTTCTTTATTTATGTATGTACTTATTTCCCTGCCCCTCTTCTCTTTACCCCAAATTGTTATTTTTCCCTATACCCAGAAGATACAGACTGACAGAGGTGCATGGTGGAGATGGAGACTATAGTTGGAGATAACCAGACTGGAGAGTCATATACACCCTGTCTACAGATTGGCAAAAGGGAGTCAACCAAAATGATAAAGAAAACGTGGCTTCTTATTTCAAAACAATTTCAAACTTATAAAAAAGGTGAAATAATATAAAGAACTTTCGTTTATCCTTCAGCCGCAGTCCCTAATTGTTAACATGTTTGCTTTATCATTCTCTTTGTGTGTACTGCATAATCTTTTTTTTTTTTTTTTTTCCCCTGAACTACTTAAGGGAGGGAAAGGGAAAAGTCTGTTTCAGGATCTGATTAGGATTATATGTGATAATTAGTAATTAGTTATCCAGGTAAGATTTTTAGAAATAAAAAATTGTTGGCATTGAGGCAAATGGATAGTGTGTGGGTTATCCCAATGGGGTTTTAAATAATGTGGCTTTAGAAGATGAAGGCTTTAGAAGATGGATAAACAAGAAGTTGAAGCATTTCAAAGGCAGTTTGATGGATAAACGAATTCAAATATTAGAATTTCTTTTCATGATATTTTGATGTATACTTATATATAATTCATGTATATTTATAAGTATCACAATATTGTAAATACACTATTAAATTTTGCTTTTACTGTGTAGTTAAGTGATTTGGACTTGTAAGCAAAAGAGTTTCTTGTGCAAGTATTATAGTAGCCTCTCTTTTGTAGCACTGAGGTTGAATCAGAAGATAACCAAGAAGAACAGAAACAGGTGCACTTGCTGGAAAGCCGCCTGACACCATGGGAGGTGTGGTTTATTGGCAAAGAAAAAGAAGAACGTGACCGGCTGCAACAGAAAGCTCTAGAGGTAAAAGTAGATGGTGTTCTTTTTATTTAATCTGTGAGCTCACAAAGTACAGCTGCAGTTGTAAATTAAAAGGTTAATGTTATTATCCCTAAAAACAAAGTCTTTGCTTTTATGTTAGTTTACTATATCTAATTTAATAAAAAATTACAATACAATAATAGAAATATGTTCATTGTTAGAGCATTTGGAAAATACAGCTAAGCATAATTAAGAAAATTAAAATGCCCTCTAATTTCACTGTCTGAAGATAACCATTGTTAGTATTATGACATATTGCTTTCCAGATGTTCTCCGTGTAAATTACTTTGAAATAAATGTGTACAAATGTTGTATGTCTACATACACTGGAGCATCAACATATGTACATTTAACTAAGGTAAATTCAACTGTATACACTCAGTAAAATTTTTAGCTTTACTGAAACAAAATAGAGGCAGGAATCTACCTCCCCCCCCCCCACCCCATGTGTCACTCAGTGAGCATGTGCCCTATATGCTGGACAGTGGGAATCTACTTGCCAGTCTTTCAGGGTGTTTCAGTTTCTCTGTGCCTCTCTCACTTATGGACATTTCCATGTGTGAGTCCCTTTTGAACTTTTACTCTATAAACTCAACATATGGTTTTAGATGCTTTTTCACATCTCTTCTTTAATGAGAATCTTCACATATTTCTTGAATTCTTACTGTTTCAGAACATGGTAACCAAATAGATTTGGATAAATTGGCATTCCCTAAATTCACTGTTCAGACTCACTATCTAAATTATTCCTATCCAAAGACAGAAGCCTAATAGATTTGAATGATGAGGTGTACTTCTTGTTTTTAATGAAACAGAATAAAACTCTTTTTCTCTATCATTAACCATTTTTATAACATCGTTTTAAAATGGCTGTCTAATATTATTAAAGTATATTTAAAATGTATTACCTTTATTAAACTATAGTCAACTGGTTCACTCTTGTTGGATATTTCACTCTGTTAGTAACTGTTGCTAAAAAAATTTTGGGAGCGAAAGCTTCATGATCTTCTGTGGAATAACTTTTCTTAGTTTTGAAACCAGTTATTGTTTGATAAATTTCTAACCAGGCAGGCAGTCACATGTCCAGGAGGTTTGGCATAATTCAAATGATTACGAAAACTAGTACATTCTGTTGTTTTCCTATTGTATGATACTTTGTATTCTAGATTACAAATTTATTCCTGGAAAAGTGCACTGTGAGAGTGGCACTTACTTCCTCTTGGCAGTGCATAGGGCTTGAGAAAGACCTTATGGTTGATGTTAGGCAGGAGTAATACAAACCCTGGTTCTAGCCTTTTTACTTGCTGGGTATAAGCAAGTTATTTAAACTTTTATGCTTCCATTTTCTCATCTGCTCAAGAAGAATAAAATAATACCTGTGTCACAGGGGTTTTGTGAGGATTAAATGAAACAAAGTATAAAGATGCCTGACTTTGTTTTTGTTTGTATTGTTATTTATATCATTGCTCTTCATAGCCTTCTTAAAGCTTTTTCATTTATTTTCAGAATTAGGGTGTATTTTTGAATTCCCCGACTTCTCTTACCTCAATGTCAAGTTTTAACATGACTAACTCCATTATTTAGTTAGTAGCTTTTAAAAATATTTGTTCACAGTGAGCACTCTATTTTTTTATGTTATGAAAACACATATCTACATACACACACACACACACACACACACACACACACACACACACATATGTATGTGAAATAACATCTTGATTTTGTGTAAAACCTGGTGTTCTATTCTTTTTTCAAAAGGCTGGTTGTAATTCATTAAATTGGTTTTAAACGTACAATTTGGAAAATACTGATGCAGTGAGTTAGTGGTAGAACAAAGTTCAATTTCTGGTATTGGGCTTTATCTCTAGTCTCACTAGAAGTTACTTGTTATATTAAGAAAAGGAGGGTTACTTCTAGTCATTTTTAGTCAGTACACAGAGAAAAGTTAATTAAATTTCGGAAAGTTAATAAGAGAGCCTGGGCTTGGTAGTTGCACAGAACAAGGCTGAAATTTTGGCCTTGCCATTCTAATTCTGTGACCTTAGAAAAGTTAATTAACTTCTCTGAGCCTCAGTTTCTTCATTTGTAAGCTAAATGTTAGAGAGGCAATAGTGGAGTAGTTAAAAGGGTAAATTCTGGGTTTGGTTTTGTTTTTTTGAGACAGGGTCTCGCTCTATCACCCAAGCTGGAGTGTAATGGCACAACCACAGCTCACTGCAGCCTTGATCTCCCCTCTTCTTCCACCTCAGCTTCCTAAGTAGGTGGGACTGTAGGCACATGCTACCATGCCTGGCTAATTTTTGTTTCTGTTTTTTAGAGAGATGGGGTTTTGCCACGTTGCCCAGGCTGGCCTCCAACTCCTGGGCTCAAGCGATCCTCCAGCCTCCACCTCCCAAAGTTCTGGGATTACAGGTGCGAGCCGTGACACCTGGTTTAAAAGTATAAATTCTTGAGCCATCCTCCCTGCATTCAAAATTTGGACTTTCGGCAAATCTTTCTGTGTCTCAATTTCCTTATCAGTGAAAGGGGGAGAATAGTATTTACTTCATAGTATTGTTATGAGGACTAAATGAACATCAGGATATGGACTAGTATGTACAAAGCACTCAATAAAGTTATTATATATGAAAGGAGAGCATTATAACTGCTATGAAGATTTGTTTTGAGAACAGATTAGAATAATATAAGCCCTACCACAATGGTAAGCATGTAGCATGGTATAATTATTTATAATTTGATTGAAAGAGTAAACCTGTTTATATATTTAGTAGTTTGATATTTTTTACGGCTACTTTATTACTTAACTCTGAAGTGATTAAATTTTAGCAGGACTCTTATGTATCAGTTATGCCAGGGATATCCTAACATATGGGCCAGCTACTCAACTTGTTGTAAACTCATGTTGAGCTGTTGTGGTATTCACATTCTTTTGCTGCCTTTTCCATTATTTTGTTTTTATCTCATGCTTTCCTTATTTTTCTGTCTTTATTTTCTATATTCCCTTGTTTATAAACCATGTCAAATTTTTAACCATAAAAAATAGTCATCTCAGATCCCTATTAAAACCAAAAAGCATGAAGACCAGAAAAATAATTTTGCCAAAGCTTCAGTTAGTGGCAGAACTGGGACTGGCACCTAATTCTTTGACTTCTGTTTAAATACTTTTCCCACAATATCAAGACATATTTTAGAAATAAATGAGTCAGACTTAATATTTGTTTTTTAATTAATTCTGGCTTTCTTATTTTCTTCCTTTAAGACTTAAGAGAACATATATAGGATAGTTTAAACTTTGAAAAGATCATCCATACTCATAAATTTGATTTGAGCATCAGACATTTAGATTTGTTTCAGACATCTCTGTGAGACTAAGTTAAAAAATTATTTTAATTCATAAAAATTACCCGCTTGGTCAACATGGCAAAACCCTGTCTCTCTAAAAAAATTTGTAACTTTTGTTGAGATGATAAATATGGTAAACATTGAATCAATTATCAAGCATTATGAAAAACTAGTATATTCGTTTTGTAGGTCATTTAATTTTTATTTACTTTTTAATGATTATGAATAATTCTTTAGCCAACTGCCCCAAGTTCTCTATGGTCTTTGGCTGATTCTAATTTTTAATATTTGCTTTAACATATTACTATAATCAGTTGTAAATTATAAAAATTACCTAGTTTGTGAATAGTCCTAGTGCTTTCTTTCTTTCATTTATTTAACCATCTTGCCTTTGACCATTTCATTCTTCAGCCCTTAATGAAGGAATAGGGTAGGATATAGAGCTGTTGGTGAAACTCAAAACTGTCAGTTTTTCTGATTATTCCCTTCAGTGGTAAAAAATTATTTGAAAGTAGGCAAAACCTGTTGAAATTAAAATGCATTTTTATGATCTTCTTGGAATTTTGGTTTTTCGTAATCAAGTATTTTATTCCCTGGGAAAATGTTAATAGCTGTCTCTAATCCTGTTGAAATTCAGTAGTATACCAGATGACCATGTAGGGGCCTTTTGAGAGAAGACTCCAGCTGTGTCCAGAAAGAGACTTGCCTTTGTGGTAAACATGGAGTCATTCAGGGTGGGAAGTTTCTAAGGGCCAGCTTTGAAAGGGAGGGTTGTGTCTCAAAATGTGATGTATGTTCTGGTTCGGCAAATTACTTGAACGGACATCCGGAGATTAGAACACTGTTTGGGTATTGGTAGCATTTTCTAGGTACATTTTGACCTTTTTTCTTTAACCCCCTCAATCAACATTAACTAAGATTTGTTAACCATCAAATAGGAGTACAGAGTTTATTGTTTTCGATTTTTTAGTTAAGTGAAGAATCTTAAAAAGGTACATAAAAGTACATAAATATATGGTCAATCATATATTTAGTTATATATTTAAATAATTTTCTTGAAAATAAAATTTAGGACTATTTTGGAAAATTTTTAATATATAGTTGTCAGGTCTCCATCTAGCCAATTAATGGCTTTTATATTTATATATACACATATAAACATACATATACACACATGTATTTGTGTATGTATATGTATATATGTATAATTTCCCCCTTTTTGTTTTCTGACACAAGTCCAGACCCTCTTTTCCTTTTTCTTTCTTTTTTTTTGACGGAGTTTTGGATTGTTGCCCAGGCGGGAGTACAGTGCTGTGATTTCAGTTCACTGAAACCTCCGTCTCAGGTTCAAGTGATTCTCCTGCCTCAGCCTCCCTAGTAGGTGAGATTACAGGTGCCTGCCACCACACCTAGCTAATTTTTTAAATTTTTAGTAGAGTCGGGGTTTTGCCATATTGGCCAGGCTGGTCTCGAACCCCTGACCTCAAGTGATCCACCTGCCTTGGCCTCACAAAGTGCTGGGATTATAGGGATGAGCCACCATGCCTGGCCCAGAGGCCCAGACCTTCTTTTTCTTTATAACTCATATACTGTGGCAAACTCTTAATCAGTCTTCCTCATAATAGTTCTCATTGCTTCAAATGCAATCTTCAGCCTTTGTCATTAAGAGCGCTGAATTTGCCCTTTTGTCAGGTATTCTTGTTTCATAGAGTTTACTTTAGTTTGCCTGTCTTAAAAGTAAAGCTAGTACCACACTCAAATTTTCCACCCCCTCCCATCTCCCAATCTGTCTCTTCTTTTGAAGTCATTTTTTCACTGTTCCTCGTATGGCGCTCATTTCTGACTAGCCTGGTATACTAGGCTAAGGGGAAGGAAAGATGTTTCTCCTCATCTTCCCTTCCCTTCTCTGAACTTTTTTGATACGCAATAACTCACAATGTACCATTTATTTCTTTGGTGTATAGAGAATCACATTAGATCAGACTTCTGAGATTTCATCTTTATATCATTTCTTGCTAGGTCCAAAGTAGGTGTATCATAAAAGTGTATTGAGTAAGTGATTAAAGAACAATAGCTGCTGGAGTGATGAAAAATCCTTAAAACAAAGGTGGATATTTGCTTTTGGGGGTGTAGTGTTTAAAAGTTAGAAGACTTCCTGAGTGGGGGCAGCTGTTTTCTATGCAGCAGAATTTTAGGATGAGAGGTTATGGAAGACAGATTTCCTGTGACCAGTTGTTTAAAATGCAAAAGAGATGTTCTAGGTGTTAAGTTTTATCTTCATTTAAGACACTGGAATTGGTCTGAGGGTTGGAAAATTGTCTTTCCCACTACCACCCATGCCCACCAGGTAGGTAAGTCTTTGGAAAAGAAAGGGCTAGGGAGGAGAGTGGAGACCAATAGACGATATGTCAAAGTATCTGACTATTAATATCTAAAGACAGAGAAGAAAAATAACCAGCAATTATGGTTGTGGAGTCCTAGTGAAGTCTAGTTTGAACAGCATTCTCAATGAATGCAGTAATTTAACTGATGAGTGACAGAGTGGTAGCATTCAAGTTGTAGTTTTATTTGGCCTTACGTTTCACATTCTTTTTCCTGAGGAAATGCCCAAACGTGTAGACTCGAGTGACAGCAAGGCAGTTAAATAATTTGGAATATGAATGTGGTTTTTGTTTTACATTTCAGCACCTATAAAATCAGTGAAGAAAACTCTGGGTTCTTTTTTTCCCAAAGGAAAACTGAATGACTTCTTTGCATTTCTTTTGTGTAACTTTGAATTAAATTTTTAATATAGGGATTATTTAATTCCTATGCTTTATCTTCATCAGGAATCCAGAAGCTTCTTATAACTGTAACAAAAAAAAAGTTGCAATTCTCTTGAGCTTCTGCCAGTAGCTTAGAGTGATGCCAAAATTTATGTGTGGGAAAGTTGATTTCAATGAGGGTAATTTAGCTGAAGTTTAGTCTAGGAAACTAGTGTTTTGCTGCCAAGCAATTATTTGCACATTTCTAAAAAATAACATACTTTTACCAATGCTCTTTTTCATTACAGGCTGGTTACTTAAGTAAGTTATTGTCACTAGTGACATATGCTCTATAAAGGAAACTATATTCTTGTTTAATTTGGTTAATAACCTCAGACTTTATATGTGATTTGAGTACTTCTATTAAATGTTGCCTTTTGTCTAAATAAAATCCACAGGAATTAAATCAACAACTAGAAAAAAGAAAAAAAATGGAAGAACGTGAAAAAAGAAAGATAATTGCTGAAGAAAAGCACAAGGAATGGGTTCAGAAAAAGAATGAGCAGGTAAGGAGGGGAAAATGTACACACATTGACATCTCTTTTGCAAAATCTTTCTTCCCGTTACCCTTTATTGCCTAGATTTAAAAAAAAATATTTCTCTTAGAGTCTTTCTTCTCTGGCTTGTTTTATTTTTCTATCCTGGTAGACATTTATCAAGTCTCTGTCTTCTGCCCTTTGCCCTCTACTTTTCTCCTTTTTCCCTCCTGTGGCCTCCACTAATATTTGCCTGCAGGCAGTCACCAAGTCTATATCTCTAGGCCTGACCTGGATCCTTGTGGCAAGTACCTCCAAGTCTGCAAATCTAAAACAACCCATTTTGTCCATTCTTCCTTCATAAAACCATTCTCCCATTTCTTTGTTTAGTTAGCTGTCTTCTTGGTCACCAGGGTTTAATTAGAATTCTTCTGTTGTTCCTAATCATCTCCTCCCTTTCTTTACAATTACAACTCCCTTGTTTGTGATCTCTTTCCATTATATCTTTCAACTTATTGTCTACTTCTTATACTGGATTATAAGCTCCATAAGGGCAGGGATTTTTGCCTCTTTTTTCAGTTCTCTAGGAGCGAGTTGAGTACCTAGCACATAATGTATGTCCAAAAATAGTTGAATTGAGTGAAGATGTTCATTGAATGAACTTTTTCCTTTTAGTTTTAATATATTCTTGAATGGATCATACACATTAGACATTTTAAAAATACTTATTCTTTAGTCAGTTTGTCTTCTGTTGTGATTTTTACATACTTCGAATGGTACTGCTTTTATTATTATGATCCAGTTTTATAAAATTGGACAAATGTTTAAATTGCAGGACAGTATTTTAAATTTTAATTCTAACTTTTTGTCTTCATTGTTGAATCTAATGCCCAGTGGCATTAATAAGAGTACTAATAAATAATTTCAGTAAATTGAAGATGACATAGCCTTCTTCATCCAAGTATTATAAGAAGGAAAATTGGTTAGATGTATGTGTGTGTTATAACCATATTTGTTTAGAGGTCGATTATGTTTTTTAAAAAAGTTTGCTTCATCCCATGATATAACATGAAAGACATCTTTGTGAATAAATTCAAAAATCAAAATAAGTCTCTGTGACTGTTATGAAACTTTGGGTAATATCTTTTTGAAATTTGTAACTATAAAACAAAATTATTTTACACATGCAGAATAGTTTGCTCTTTTCTTTAAAAATCCGTCTTCTAACTCCAAAGCTAATTTTACCATGCCAGTCAAACCTAGTTGTTATTTGTCTAAGAATGTAAGATACTGCTGGGAGATGATATATTCACGATTTTATTTGGTGGCAGTAGACCTAATCCAATTACTTGAAGAAAAAAAAATTCTTTATTTGGAGGGAAGTGGCGTGCCCTCTCATAAATCACTAGTTATTGAAGACAAAATTCCATAATGTTGAAATTATTTAAAAATGAGAATTATTTAAAAATAAAACTGAGAAGCTATATTTACCTGTTCTGCAGAACTCTTGTTCATGTTAAGGAATAATTGATTATTCTCAATTTTTTTTTTCTTTAAGACCTATCAGATTTCTTCTTTCAGACATAGTTACATTTACCTCTATTTGTAAAGACTGCTCTCCTGGTTCTTCTCTTCCTGTCTGGCTTCTAGCTTTTTTCTCCTCTGTTTATATTTCATGGTGTGTGGTCCTCAGCTGCCTCCAGCTTCATTCACATTTTAGTTGTATCTGTGGCTGCTATTTTCTCTAAGTCATTTTCACTGTGTTCTATAAAAAAATCAGACAAAAAGAATTTATGCATTCATTTAGCAAAGCTAGTTTCTTATAATATGATTGTAAATTCTTAAGTGCTTTTAAAGTAAATGTTCTATCTCATCTGGTACTCCTTAAAGTTGTGTTGCCATAGTAATTTATTTTCTGGATATGTTTATTACAGTGTTACGTATTTTTTTAAAAGGACCTTTTAGTGTTTTAAAAAATTATTTAAAAATAAAATCGTTTTTAATTCTCCAAACACAACTGAGTTTTTAATGGAAGACATTAATTCAGATCAACAAGGTTGATTGATTGATAACACTGTTATCATTGCATTATTCATGCTTTCAACAAACATTTACTCAACTTTTACTATGTGCAAGGCACTATTGGAGAAAGCAAAACAGAAATTCAGAAACTGTAAGTAGCCAGTTGTTATGTTAGTTTCCTTTAGTTGTATGAAACAAAGGTTCTCTCAGTGCAGCATCTTTAAAAAAAGGAAGATTTATTGTTATGCTCTGGTACAGAACTGGTGTGCCAGAAAACCTGAAGCCACTTAATGGCTGGTTCCTCTCTCAGCAGTAGTGACTACTCTGAGTGCCTGCTGTGTCCTCCTTTTGCTAACTCAAGGGATTTTGTTCACTCTACTTTAGTTTAAATAAAGAAGTCTGTCTGATTTTTTCAGAATTATTTCTATTGAGGTATAATTTGCATACAATAAAATGCACCTATTTTAAATGATGACTTGGGCAAATTTAGGTACCCATGTAACCAGCACCAGTAAAGATATAGAACATTTCCATCACCCTAGAAAGTTCCCTTTTGCCTCTTTGCATTCACCCCAACTTCCTGCTCCCAGCCAGCCTCAGCTCCAAGGAAACCATTAATCTGCTTTCTGTACCTGTAGATTAGGATTGCCTTTTCTATAATTTCATATAAATGGAACGATAGAATATATACTCTGTTGTGTTGGTCTTTTGTTTTAAAACTTATCCTGATATTTCATGTATTATTCTTTTTTATTGCTGACTATAGTATTTTATAAATACCACAAATTGTTTATCTGTTCACTAGTTGATGGACAATTGAGTTGTTTTCAGTTTGGGATATTATTAATAAAATTCTGTGACCACACACTTACAGGTCTTTTTGTAGACACTTGCTTTCATTTCTGTTGGGTGAATGCCTAGGAACTAAATTACTGGGCTATATGGTAAGTATGTGTTTAACTTTATAAGAAATTGCCAAACATTTTTCTAAAGTGCTTGTACCATTTTACATCTTCACCACTGTTGTAAGAAAATTCCAATTGCTCCACATCTTTGGCAAATTTGGTATGGCCAGCCCTTTTCATTTTAAGTCCTTCTAGTGAGTGTGGAGTGGTATGCTATTGTTTTAATTTTCATTTTCCTGAGATCTAATGATGTTTAGTATCCTTTCATAAGCTTATTATATTTGTCTTCTAGAGCTTCCATAACAAAATACTACAAACGGGGTGTTTTAAACAACAGAAATATATCTTTACTGACAGTTCTGGAGACTGGAAATCAAGATAAAGGTGTCTGCAGGTTTGGTTTCTCCTGAGGCCTCTCTCCATGGCTGTCTTTTTATGTCCTCAGAGGGCTTTTCTCCATGCGCACACATCCCTGGTGTCTCTTCCTCTTCTTGTAAGGATACCAGTCCTCTTAGATTAGGGTCCTACCCATATGACCTCATTTAAACTCATTAAAGACCCTATCTCCAAATACAGTCACATTGTGGATTCTGGATTCAACAAAGGAATTTGGGAGAGGGGCAGAGACACAATAAAGTTAACACCTATTGACCATTTCTACATCTCTTTTGTTGTTGGCTTGTTTTGTGTTGTGTTGTCATTTGCCCATTTTTTAGAAGGGGTAGTAGGGCTTATTATTAAGATACGAGAATTATTTGTATATTCAGACTATAAGTCCCTTCTCAGATATATGTATTGCAAATCTTTCTTCCCATTTAATTTTCCTTCCTTCCCTCCCTGCCTCCCTGCCTCCCTCCCTCCCTCCCTCCCTGCCTCCCTCCTTGCCCCCTTGCCTCCCTCTCTTTCTCTCTTCCTCCCTTTCTCCCTGTCTCCCTCCCTTCCTCCATCCCTCCCTCCCTTCCTTCCTTCCTTCCTTCTTCTCTCTCGCTTCCCTCCCTCCCTTCCTCCCTTCTTTTTTTTCTTTTTTTCTTTCTGAGTCAGAGTCTTACCCTGTTGCCCAGGCTGGAGTGCAGTGGCTCGATCTTGGCTAACTATAACTTCTGCCTCCTGGGTTCAACCGATTCTTGTGCCTCAGCCTCCTGAGTACCTGCGATTATAGGAGTGCATCACCACACCTGGCTAATTTTTGTATTTTTAGTAGAGATGGGGTTTTGCCATGTTGGACAAGCTGGTCATGAACTCCCCATTTAATTTTTCTTAATGGTATTTTTTTTTCCATTAACAAGAAGAAGCACTGACAAATGATATTTTTTAAAGAGCAGTTTTAAATTTTGATGAATATTCATATTTCAGTTTTTTAATTGTTGGTGGTTTTTGTGTTCTATTTAAGAAATGTTTGCCCACTCCAGGAGGATAAAACTACTCTCCACTGTTTGCTTCCAGAGGCTTTATAGCTTTAGCTTTACCTGTATGTCTAATTCAGTTTAATTTTAACATATGGTATGCATTAAAGGTCAAGGTTCATTTGTTTGCATGTGGATATCCAATTGTCCTAACAATGTTGACAAGATAATCTTTTCTCTATTAAACTGCCTGGGTACCTTTGTTTAAAATCATTTGACCATATATTTATAGGTCTGTTTCTGGATTCCATTCTATACTATTGATTTATATCGTGTGCCAGTATCACACTAACTTGTCACTATAGTTTTATAGTTCTGAATTTATTATTTGTGAAATCTGATAGTGTAAATTCTCCAGGTCTTCTTTTTCTAACTTGCTTTAGTTGCCCTCCATCTTGCTACATACAGTGTAGAATTGGCTTATCAATTTTCCTAATAATGACTGTTCTAATAGTTCTTGGCACTATTGGGATTCTGCTAAATATCAATACACAGATTATTTTGGAGAAAATTGCTATCTTAATAATATTAAATTTTAAATCTATAAACATGGTTTTTCTTTCCAGTTATCTATGTCTTCTTTAATTTCTCTCAGCAGTGTTTTTTAGTTTCGACGTATAGCAGTATTATCTTTTATTAAATATATTTCTCAGTATTTCATGTTTTTGCTGATGAGGGCAGTTATCTTGCCTGTTCCTGATGCATATTATATATATTATGCACACACACAATATATATATATATATATATTTTTTTTTTTTTTTTTCCCAGCCACATTCATATGAAACGTTTCTGATATTACCTTGTAATTTTCATTGCCTGGTTTTGATATCAGAATAATGCAGGACTCTTAAAATGAGCTTTGATGTGCTCCCTTTTCCTCTATATTCTAAAATCATTCTTGTAGGGTTTGGTACCATTAAGATATACCACAATAATATGTTATTAAAATATGGAATATATTTAACTGTGTAATAGAATCTACTAGTGAAGCTTTCAGAGACTGGAGATTTTTTGTGGGAAAGTTTTAAATTTTTAATTGTTTTTATAAGTAGAGGGTTATTCAGACACTATTTTTTCTCAAATTAGTTTTGGGGAGTGACATATTTTAAGGAGTTTGATGTTTCATTTACAATGTTGAATTTATTGGCATAAAATTGTTTTTAAGATTCTCCCATTTTGATTTCTGCATGATGTCTGTAGTGATCCACCACTTACCGTCTCTGTGACCTTAGGCAAATTTACCCTCCATGTGCCTTAGTTTCCTCCTTTGTAAAATGGAATAATAATAATAACTACCTCATATCATGATTGTAAGAATTAATTGAAAGTATGTACAAATAAATTACGGAGAATAGTAACAGCCATAGTTAGCACTCAATAAATGTCAGCTGCTGTAATTAAAAACAACGTAAGAACTGGTTGATTCCTTGTAGGTAAAATTGTGGAGGACAGTCATGAGTCACATAGAGATTAAGCAAGATATGCACCAAGATCCTTTTCAATTTGTAGATCTTCTGACAGTTTGAAGTAGTTAAAATGCAGTATTATTCCAATGGCTATTGAGTTCTCAGCATGAAAAGATTCTGCTTTACAGCTATTGGCTGTCCAGCAAGAAGGAAATACAGCAAAGTTGATACAACTTGGGGAATTACTTGAGCTTTGATTTTTTTTTTTTTTTTTTTTTTT